TTAATCCTTTATAATTTTAATTATTTAATTGCTCCTTCCTCTCTTCCTTGGCATGTTGTGAAATTTCTGATAGTTGGATAATAAACAGTTTTATTGTAATTTGTCTTTTTAAATTATTTTGAATTGATATTAAAATTTGGAAAAGGAGATCCCTAGATCGGTAAAATAGGTAAATTTCCTCCTACAACTTCGGTTGTTGTTTGGGATACAGTTAAGGTTTTAACAAAGTTCGAGCGAATACATAATTAGCAAAAAAAGTTAAAATAAAGTGATTAAAAAAAATTATTACAAATATCGTAAATAACAAATGCATATATAGAGAGATTTTTTGGAGGGGGGAAATAGTCTTCACAATTTCAAATCGATCGAACACACAGTAAAATGCTTGTATACACGTGAGCCATCTATCATAGGATAAATGTACTATGCCAGAAACCTTCGCAGGAGTATATTAAACTTCCCAAAGTTTCACAGCAATCAGATAAATGGTGTGGTAATGCTTGAAGGACACACACACACACACACTTTTATATATATAGATTAAACTTAGCAACACATAAAAGACCAAAGCATTTTTTGTGAAAAAAATTGTATATAAAATATTGTTTTATATATGTGTTAATGTTAGAATATTTTAATCACTTTTTTATATAATTTTGTAAAATAAGAGAGATTGTAAAAAATAGAAGTTTTTAATGGTGATGTAGGTCAGTTAAAATGGTTGTAAAATTAAAACAATCTGAGGAGGACAACATTATTGTTTGCTTCAAAATGCTTATTGGTTTTTTATATGTTGCTAAGTCTGTTATTGGTTGTATTTGAACCAAATGTTTAATTGATTATGCAAAATACAGACAAAAGGCATTTAATATTTATTATGAATATATATCATACTACATAGATTTCATATTTTTTTCTTTTTTCTAAAATTTACTGTAGTGACTTAAATGGAGCAACTAAATTATTTTTGCAAATATAGGCAGTCAATTTCCTAGATAGTGATCTGTCTAAAATGAGAGAGAATTAAATATAATATATCATATATTTCTTTAAAATAAAGAATTATTCAGCTGAAATGAATGACACTAAAAATTATATTTGAAATAAGATAAATTTTTATTCATACCTTCCTGCATCATTTGATACCACAGCTGGAATCTGCAATCCTGAAGAATTAACATCATGACTAACTTGATACATGTCAATTTTAGTTTGTAAACATTTAGAACCACATTTCACACAACAACTTGATGGTGGAAGATTTCCAGTTACATCTGGTGATTCATATCCATTATTATGTGCTAACTGTTCTAACACAAGTGTTTTTGCTGAGCTGGAGACTCCACAATGTACCACCATCTAAATAATTACAAAATATTATATTGAATATAAATAAAAAATTTAAGAAATAAAATTCTACGTACGGAAAGCTAGAACTTCTGTAAATAAGTAATATAAAATCGTTGACACTTTTTCTAGCAATTTTCTTTAATCAAACTAACATTTTTGGTTATATTTAATGGCCTTCTTCAGGTTTGGCAATATTTGGAATTTCAGATATTCAAAAATTTGTTTTCGTTCTGAAGACGTCATGGTTTTTACAAAAAAGTTTTTTTCTTTTCTTTTAACAAAATTTCTTTTAAATTACAATCATTAAATATACATGAAAATAGAAAAAATTTAAACACAATTAATAAATGTAAATGGATAACAAATTAGAGTTATACTGTACATTAATTTGTTTTCTTTCCTGTGACGTCAATGTTTTTACAAAATTATTAAAACACGATTAATTAATAAATATGTAAATGGATAATGAATTACAGAGAATGACTATTGCCGATAGGATTAAAATATATATAAATTCATAGGATTGCAATGTCATATATCGCGTGAGATAGCTGGGTTAGCCCACTTCCTTTAGAGGAAGTGTCAATGAGTGATTGCCAGGCCATAGATAGTGAGTATGCATCTCTGCTGTTAATGCAATTTTCTTTGAGGGATTTTGCAAAGATTTCCAGTGTTTCTATTGTTCTTAGCTTGCTGTTATCGAGTATTGGTATTATAATCTTAGCTTCTTCCCATTTAGTCATTATACCTGGCTCACTTGCATATTGGGCTGGGGTGGCACTAAATTTCTCATTCTGCATATCATACTTATGCTCCGTTAACATACATAGTCTGTTAACATACAAAGTTAATATACATAGGCTCTACCAACAGATCATTAGCAAAAAGCTATCCTTTTTGCTAATGAGCCTATATATGTTAACTTTTTGCTCCTATTAAATCTGTTGTCGTCCAGTGATACAGAGTATATTCCAGGTTTTCTGGCTTCACTGCATTTATCTTTGGTATTGGCAAGAAGTTTATATATTGAAGGGTTACATTTGTAGGATAGATCTGCTTTGACCTTCTTGGCTATGATTTTATAGGTTTGGCTCATTCTAGTGCCAAAATCAACTACTATGCATTTTCTTTGCTGTTCTAGAGATCTGGAATTTATGGTTTTTGTTTCTAGGTTGTCTTGTATTTTGCAAGCTAGCCTTTCTATTAACTTACTGCTGTAACCATGGGCTATGGCAATGTGTTTTATGCATTTCTTGTAATGTGTCCTTGATGTTAGAGGAATGGGTAAAAGCTCTTCAGATCAGAACCCTGTATGCTGCTATTTTATAAATATATGGGTCGTTGGATGTTGAGGGGATAAAGCAAGATTGTAGGTTAGGCTTATGGTATACTTTTGTAGCTATAAACCATTTCTCAGGTGTATCTGGAGGTCAAGGAAACGGGCTGTCTTACCACCACCTTGATCTAATTTTAACATAAGCCCAAATGGGTTGTTATTGATAGCCTGCAATATTCTATCTATATCTGGCTTAGATCTCCAGATAATAAGAAAGTTGTCAACATAACATGTGTATAATATGATTTCTGATCAGAGGTTTTCTAGGACTTGAAACTCCAATTTTCTAACTACTAATTCACAGAGGTTCAACCTCTGTGAATTAGAAGTTGTCATCAGAACAAAAACAAATTTTTGAATATCTGATGTTCCAAATATTGTTGAACCTGAGGAAGGCGATTAAATATAGCTGAAAGCATTAGTTCAATTAAAGAAAATTGCAAGAAAATTGTCGAAGGTTTTATATTACTTATTTAAGAAATAAAAACAAAAACTAAATATTTACATGTTTAAGTTTTATTAAAATTGTTGTTGTTATCGAAATATGATATGTAAAAATCTCAAAATATATTTTAATAAAATATATTTTGAGATTTTTACATATCATATTTCCTCAATTCTAAGACACACCATGCATTTAAATTCAAATCTTATGATGTGTTTTTGGAGGGAAACATTTTTAATGATCAATTTTATTAAGATTTTTTAGAAAAACAATACAAATGCTATGAAAGAGGTAATGTTTGGCAGCTCTACTTCCATGTTGTTCTGATACTACATACTATATTAAAATAAATAACTGTTAACTTTAATTTTATATAATTGTGTTGTATAATAGTGTCTAATAAATAATTATATGTTGTATAATAGTGCCATCTTCAAAACATTCTAAATGTTATACAGCTACAGCAAAGCTCATTTGAACTGACATTGATGTTAAACAGTATAAATGAAAATGCATGTTATTGTTGTTGTTGTTGTTGCTGCATAATGCACTTATGATATATTTGCAATGACTGTTGACTTATTTTTGACTATGAATGTAAGACCCTGTAAATTCGAAGACATATCTATATTTTAGTCAAGTAAAAATGAGGGAGAAGTGTCTTTGAATTGAAAAAAATAAGATATTTATTCTGTACATTAATACAATATAAGATGCCAAAAAACTCTTAATATACTATTTTTTGGGGTTTTTCCTTTTTACATATAAATAATATTAATCAAAATCAGTAATAATTTTTCTAAATAGAAAATATTTTATCTAAAGTAAAAATTTAAAAATTCTAACATTTTAGTACTTTTTGACATTAACCATTTGTCATCAGAAACAATTCTGTTACTATAGAACAGTGTTTTTCAACCATTTTTATCTCATGGAACACTTGAACCCACAATTAAATTTTGTTACAACAATTTCCTCAAAATAAATCACATGATTTAAAGTTGTGTTTGTAAACATCCTATCGTCACATTACTTGCCATTTAATTTAATTCTTTGTCTATATTTTTGTGAATTAAATAAAACAGCATTGTTTTTCCTTAATATAACAGCAGATTACAACAATAATGATACACTTGGAACTAATTACGGTGTGATAAAAAACATCGAAGAAACAAATGTTTTTGAATCCCTTCTGGGCTCTGCATCAGGTTCTTAATGTCATTCCATAATCAAATAACCATCTAGGAATGGCTAAGAACCTGATACAGAGCCCAGAAGGGATTCAAAAACATTCGTTTCTTCGATGTTTTTAGGGCAGTAGAACAAAAGGTGACAAAGGAGAGAAGAGATTCTTGGTCGAGCTCTTAATGAGAACGAACGAGAGAAGGTAGGGATCCGGATCGTGTGTAGGATGACCAGAGACTATGAGGCTTTGAGGAAAGACGTTCAGGCCCGAGTCCGAAGAATAAGGACGAAAAGAGGTAGCGCTCCAGATTGAGTATAAGACGAATGGAGGCTACGTGGAGCCAGAGAATCTATAGGAAGGAATTCCTAATCCAAAGACGTTGAAGAGAGCCACAGAAAGAACCATACGAGAGGTCTACAGGAAGGAAAAGAAGTAACGTTCCAAGAAAAGCTCCAGAGTAGTGTCCCACCCAAGATTACGAACTCAAGAAAATTCCGGGTATTTCCATCTTCACCTTAAACTATTCTTATCCGTCTATTCTCTTGTTTCCTTCTTTAGTTATAAGTAGTATAAGGATTAGTTATAAGTTTTGGCCCGTGCATAATTGTGTTGCTCAATTAATTCGCTGTTTTATTGATCGAATTGTAACGCCTGTGTGTACAGAAACTATTTGTAGTGTTGGGATCCAAAGAAAGAAAAATGAACCTGTTCAAAGCGATAATAAATAACTTTCAAAAAATCTAACAAGTATTTATTTGTACTTTTCCACTCATGGAATGTTGTACTTGTCACAATGAACACCACAGGGTAACAGAGGGAATATTTTAGTTGCAAATTTGCCATTTTACCTGAGGTACACTATTTTTACTTCTTGTATATTCAGCATTTTTAAAATTTTACCAAATAACCAGGACAAAATGACAAACTGGCCAGGACACAGGGACAGTCCCAATCAAAGCAGAATGTCTGGTAAGCCTATCTTTGTATCATTACAACACAAGACTGCAAAGCAGTAAGAAAACAGCAAAGATATTTAAGAACCTGAAATAACAAATTATTCAATACTCTTTTTCTAGTTCCGATCTGGCTCACCAGACTCCTGGTTGTTCCCAAAATTGAAGGTGAGGTTGAAAGTTCAAAATTTGTCATCATATGTTGAAAATCAAAAATCTTCTAATCTGAATACCGGTATTCTGATAAAATCGCACTTACTAAACCTTTATTGTCCGGTACTTGTAAACTATTCGTAAAAACAAACGTTTTCGGCTTCAGATGAGGTCTTCTTCAGATTAAAATAATGGGGAGATGTATAAACACCAAAGACGGCAACACGCTTTCTTATGCTTGGCATTACGTATGCGAAGAACAACAAAATGATGACGATACATAACACGCGCATGAATTCGATTATATTTTAAAACTAAACATTCATTCTAAGAATGGAATCCAATTATTTTAACCTGAAGAAGACCTCGTCTGAGGCCAAAAATATTTGTTTTTACAAATAGTTTACAAGTACTGGACAATAAAGGTTTAGTAAGTGCGATCATATGTTGAAATTAAAACTAATGAGAATGAATACAAAGCCAGAAAGTTTTTCATGAACAGAATGGAAAAAATAGATTGAAAGTTTGGAAAATGCATCACTATAAATAGTGATTACATTTAAAAACAGGGATACACAGAGGAAGAGAAAAGGAACAAATTGCCCTGAGCACCAAAGATGTAGAAACCCTACACAATACATTACTTACTTCCTTTACTTTAACATAATAATTTACTTTGGTATATGCTTCCAACATGTATTTTACCCCAGCCCCCATTACCCAAAAAGTAATGGGAGCTGTATGGGACAAAATACATATTGGAAACATATAAAATATATATATATTGTTATATATATATATATATATAATTGATTGGTAAAAGTGTTAAATCGTCCCTTGGAGGTGTTGTGCTATCTTGGAGCAGAAGTTCCACCCAACCAATAGGAAGAGGAGCAGCTGCATGTGCCTAAGGGGNAGAACTCAAAGTTTCAGAGT